TCTGAGCTGCAAGAGATAAGAGAGAAGTGAATTTAATCTGGTTTATAAAAGTCACCCCTTCGGGAACAGAGCAAAGTGCTTGCAGAGCCGTTAGCTGTTCCCTTGAGACCACGGGAGAGCCAGAGGTCGTATCCCCCTGAGGCATCGCAGAGGAGCTGGGGGCTTCAGCTGCTCGGCATAGCCCCGGGCCCCAGCACAGGGTCGGGAAAGCCAGGGGAGCTGCTCTTCCCAGCTCTGCTCAGGGGATGGATGGCTCCAAAGCAGATCTATTTCGATGCTGGGGATGCTCCAGTGACCCCTCACTTGTGAAATGGGGACATGAAATGAGACTTGGGCTCCAGGTCCCTCTATTCATTTCTGGCTGCTGAAATTGCACGTGTGAGATGCATTTGGACACCCGGCCAAGGAAGTAGCTCAAGCTCTGAGTACAACAGATGCATCTTTGAGGGAGATGCCTTCAGGGATATGTGCTGGTTCATGTTTGTCCTGGGATGAAGGACATGGCTCGGCCAAAGCTGTTTCATTTTCCTTCAATGTGAACACCTGTGTCTCTGTGGATGGCATCATCCGAAAGGATCAGGAGCCACCTCGTATCTGGGCTTAAAGGTCTTTAATTCAAGGAAAACTCTAAGTTCAGCACTGGAACCAGTAGATGCTGGCTCAGTGCTCCAGACCTGAGCTCTGGAGGTAGCTGGGATGAGCATCCTCCACCCATCCGGGAGACGAGCAGCTCCGCCTGCCCAGGGAGGCTCAGCCTCAGCACCCAGGCAGGGCTCTGCTGCCCACAGCACTGCCATGACCTCTCCAAAATACTCTCTGGTGCTAAAATACCGTGTGTGCACTTGCTGCTTTCCACCAGCACGGGACCCAGCAATCCCGAGCTTGTACCTGCAGAGGGGATGGGGCCAAAAACCCACCTGGTGGCTGTAAGTCCCAAAATTAAAAAGTCAGGTGCAAATTTCTGATGCTCATGGTACCCAGAGGGTGAGAGGCAGCCGGTTCCCAAGAGCTGCTCCGGGGACATAGAGGCCCTATGGCCGGGTTGCATTAAAGGAGAAAGTTGTTTCCCTTTCGAGCTAATTGCAAAGGAGCCGCCCGTGTCTATCTGGGTCAAGCCATAACCTGCTTTAGCCGGGCAAAGCGGCGGCAGGACGCCAGCGTGACGCAGCGTGACATGGCACTCGCCCGCTCCCCTGCTGCCACGGCACACAGGGTGCACACCGGTGGGGACCTGGTCCCTGGGGGCAGAGTTTGGATGGGGTAGAAATCAAACTGGAGGCAAATGAAGTATTTGTTTGGAAGAAGAATGGGCCGAATCTCTCCCGGGAAGGGTTTAAGTTCGTGCTGGTTAATAAAATGCTGGGATGAGTAGGAGGGCTCCGTGGCACAGGAGCAGATCCTCCTGGGGCTGATGGGGGGAAATAGGGACTTGATGGGAGTTGCTTTGGTTTATCCCTTTGGTGACATCCCTGGGACCCCAGCCCGAGGGTCTGGCTGGTGTTACAGCCCGGGGGAGTGGGGCCGCATCCGCATCTCCCCTTGCCCAGCCCCGGGGAAGCCCCTGGCACCTCTAAAGCAGAGTGAGGCCCAAGGGGGGGTTGCCCATGCTTAGCAGGGTGCAGTGAAGCGATGTGTGTCCTCAGAGCCCCCCGAGGTGTGTGCTGCGGGGAGGGGATGGCTCTGGAACCTGGCTCCCAGCAGGCGTTGGCATCTCCTGGGAAACCTCAACCCTGTGAGCACAAGAGCAGGATTGATTTTTTTGTGGCCAACGTGGCAGCTTTGCCTTCTGCTGCAGCCGCGGTGTTGCAGTGAAGTGGCCACTGGTGGGCTGAGAGGGGAGAAATGGAAGTTGTGTCCATGAGAGAGAAATCCACAGCGAATAGACTGGAAAAAAAAAATCTGTAAAACCTGGTTACAGCCCTGATGCCACGTGCCCGGCGAGCAGGCAGGGCTGGAGGGGCGTTGCACGCTGATGATGCTCAGAGGGTGCTGGTGAAGCCAAGGTCATAGCATAAATCTAGATGAATTTTTTCCCTCTGAGTTGATTGAAGAGGAGCTCAGGACCGGCTTTATGGTGGCAGTAGCAGATGTTCTCCCTCCACTTCAGGAGAAAACCCACCAGCAGCAGCTGCCGGGGCTGGAGATGTTTGTGCAAGGGACCTCGAGGGTGAAATAGGTGAGTTGGGGCCAGTGGTTTAACCACTCCTGTCCATGAGGCTGGAGCTTCACAGGCTCTTGGCCCCATCCTGGGCATCCCGTGCTTACAGGGAGGAAGGTTGACCCTGTTGGTGTTTGCACAAGGTGTTTTGCAGCTCAAGTCTGCGAACTGCTCTGCCCTCAGGCACAGTGCTCCTGGGGCAAGGGGCTGGGTTAAAGAGAGTGAAAAAATGTGCAAAATGGGGGTTTGTAAGTGTGGGTTGTGGGGTACAACCTGGGAAAGGGCTGAAGGGCTGAGGAGAGCTGGTTGCTGCTGGTACTTGCTGCTGGGTGGGCTGCCAAGGGGGGCTGGGACCATTGTGCCCCCCGGGATGTGCTGGTCTCCAGCTCCTGGCTGGTACTGGGTGCTATGCTCCCAAGAGTGACCTTTGTGGGTGCAAGGCAACCCCACGGGTGCAGGGGAAGCCCCGCACAGCTCCTGCATGGCTACTGCCACCCACTCCCCAGCACCCTTGGGTGCGGGCTGCTGCCAGCCCAGGGCCCCTCACTGGGGGCTGTGGTTGCCCACTGGGGCTGGATCTGGAGATATTTGCCTGCGTGGGGGTGGCAGAGCCCCAGTGCCCGTCTCCATCTCATGCCACACACAGCTCAGGGACAGCTCTGTCCCAGAACCCCCTCAGGCACCTTGTCCCAGGGTTTCTTCCATCCCCCAGTGCTGTGACTCAGGGCTGTGACCACAGCGAGCAGAGGCAGAGACGTCTTAGCCGGGACGTGGGGAGAGAGAAAATCTCCCTGGCTGTTTCAAAGGCTTCAGCGAGAGCAAGGCCAGCGCTGTGTGTGTCGGTTCCCTCTTCCCCTTGATTAAAATTGCCTTGAAAAGACCTTTGTAGATCCTGGCTGGCGCTGGAGTCGGCACTACGACGCTTAGATCTTGTCTGCTGCATCAGCCCTTCTCCCCGTGACCCGTGGCTCGGCTATCAAGTGATCCAGCTCATGTGGGTCCAGCAAAAGGGAATTTGGGTGCATTCACCCGAGCATTGTCTGTGGCAGGGACAGAGCCACCCCGGTGGAGCTCGCTGTGGGAGATGTGGGGCAAGGCTTGGTCCTTGCAGACTCACAAAAGTCTCAGAGGGAGCAGGGCTTGGGGCAGCTGTAAGTTGGGGAAGAGGCAAAACGGGGCAGTTTGGGGAGTTTTTGGAGCTTGCTCATGCAACACAGTCTGCCGGGAGATGCAATGGGTGGAGGGCTGAGGCTGGGTGCTGTCCCCATTAGAGTGATGGGAGCCACCCCCCTGCACCCCATGGCTTGCCAAGAAACCTTCTTCAGCTCTGGAGAACCTCTGTCACGGCTGGGTGGTTTGAAAGGCAGCCAGGCTGCCAGTCCCGGGCTGCAAACAGAGCAGCTTGTGTGCGGCCCCGTACCTGGGCCGCAGCGTCCCCCCAGCCCGCCGGGAACGGCTTCGTTCAGCTCCAGCGTGGCCCTGAACACCGGAGCGGCCGCACAAAGACCCACTTGTGCTCGCTGCACCCACTCGCTGAAGGCAGCGCCGGGGGAGAGGAACCCCCCTGGGGGTGATGGGGACTGCAAGTGGCCAACCTGGAGCTGGTGGTCCCCTCCTAAGATGCTCAGGGACCCCAAAAAGCTTCCACTCCCCTCCCCAGAGGTTTTCCTTCAAGGAGGCTGAGTGAAACTGTGCTGGTGTGACCTGCAAAACGTGTGTCCTGGGAGATTTGTGGCACCCAGCGCCCGTTGGCCTTTCGGTTTGCTGTGGCTGTACCAGGACAAGGGAGCAGAGGTTGTCACAGGTGCCCGCGAAGCCACATCTCCCCATCTTTCTAGAGATCATTCCACCCCCTGGAGAATATGGGGGTTTTTTTGGAGTTTTGAGGGTTTTTTTTCCTGGAGAGTTGCAGACGGGAGGTGGTGGGAGACGGAGATGGCTTTCTTGCTGAACGATGCTCTGCCTGCCTGGGCAAAACCTGCGGGAGGGATGAGCTTCTCCACTTGCTGTGACCGTGCTGATGTCCCTGCCACTGGTGGCAGCAAAGACGGCCCTGCCTGCCCCTGGGTGCTTTCAGTGGGACGGGGTAGCGTGCCAAGCCCCTGTCCTCATCTGCACGGGGTGAAATGCCAAGGCAAGGGGAAGCAAGGCACTGTGGGTGGTGGTGCCAGGGAGAGTCACCACGGGGCAAGATGAGAGCAGGAGCACAGAGAGATGGGGTGGTTGGTAGTATGTGGGGGGATATTGGGGTCCGGTAGGGCAGAGATGGGGCTCAGACATTAGTAATGGACTGAGGAATGGGGTGACAGAGCTAGTCCTCGTGCCACTGGAAGGTGGTCTTGAGTGATCCTGATGGTCTCGGGTGTCTGGGAGATGGTCTCAGGTGATCAAGAGTTGGTCTTGGATGGCCAGGGGATGGTCTTGATTGACCAAGAAGTGGTTTTGGGGACGAGGAGAAGGTTTTATGTTGCCAAGAGCAGCCCATCCCGACTGTGGTGCAGCTCTGCCTGGTGAGGGTCTGTGCCCATGTGGCCTTGCTGCAGGGACCTGCCACAGGGACATGGGGATGGGGCTGCATGGGGTCCCTGGGGCAGGACATCACATATGCCCTGGCCCTGTGAACCCCTGTGGGAGGCCATCATGTGTGTCCTCATCCTGGGGTATGGGATGCAGTGGCCTCCTGGGAGAGTGACATGGAGCACCCGCAGTCAGTGGGGCCAAGACCAGGGTCCAGAATGGTCAAGGGGTTGTGGGTGCCCCCCCATGCCCAGCCCCTCACCATGCCAGGCCCCGCTTAACCTTCCTCTCCCCCCACAGCCTTGCCGACAGCCACCTCGCCGGGATGAACGGGATGGCCAACATCAACCCCGCTGGCCGCAGCCACTACGTCTCCGCCATCCCAGTGCCCCGTGCCACGGCCCATGGCAAGCTGCATGCCGTGGCCCCCCCAAGCACCCTGGGGGCCCCTGTCCCCCACAGGTCTCTGTCTCCCCAGCCAGGGAAGGTGCTGGCCCCCAGCCCCAAGACCCTCAAATCCAAAGGCGCTGGCAGAGCTGCTGGCCATGAGCTGCCCAAGGGCAGGGAAGGCAGCCCTGGTGTCCCCCACCGTGGGGGGCAGAAAGCCCTGACAAGACCCCTGGTGTCCCTCAGGAAGTGGCCAGAGGCAGTTGGCAGTGGGAGGAGAGGGACAGGCAGGGTGGGGGAGACCACTGAGCTGCCCAAAGCCCCCTTAGCACAGGGGAGGGGTGGGGGACAGCCAGGGGTGTCCCCCGGGAAGGGCAGTGAGGTGGCCACAGCGGAGATAGCCGATGAGCCCCATGGTGGCTCACAGGGCAGGGGCCCCGTGTTCGGGTCGGGGGCCATCACCTTCTCCTCGGGCCCCCTGCACAGCCATCCTGTCACCGCCACCGTGGCACCCTTCCAGTACCGGTGAGTCCCTGGGGACTGGGGGTATAGTGCTGGGGAGGCGGCATGGGGATAGGGGGACATGGTGACAGGGGACACGGACACAGGGGGAGGCAGGTGGGTGTGGCGGGGGTGGCCACAGGGAATTGTGGGGTTGGGTCTGGGGGCTCTGCCCCAAAAGGTGGGTTCCCACTGGACTTGAGGTGCTATGGGCTCCTGGGGCACCCATGGGAGCTGGTGTGGGATAGGGGATGGGCTCAGTGGGGTGCGGGGTGCCCTGGGACCCCCCCTGACCATTTTCCCCAAACCCTGTCAGAGCTCAAAGCACCATGTCTCCATCTCCTGGGGGTCCTCAGCTGGCTGCACCCTGCAATGTGCCCCTGCTCCCCCCACCCCGCTCAACCCTCCTCTGCCCCCAGGCTGCAGGAGGACCAGGAGGAGGAGAGGGCCACGTCCCCTGGTGACGAGTGCCCTGGTTCTGCGGAGGGACCTGACCCCAACCCCAAAGCCGGAGACCCGAGTGAGTCAGGGCGGGGTGTTTCTGGGAATGGGGGGGTCCTGCCAGGGGGCTGCCGGGATGGTGCCAGGGGACAGAGGCTCGCACCGGAGCTCAGACCCCCACAGCCTCATGCCAGAATAGGAGCTGGGGCTGGGAGTTGGTGGGGGGCGGGGGGAACTCCCACATAGGAGGTGTCCCAAATCCCCTGGGAACAGCCTGGCTGCAGCT